GGTTAAGCCTAAGCCGAGAAAGAAGAAACGCTCTCCATCATCTTCTTGAACCAGAATCTTCTTCAAAGCTTCCTCACTCTTGTCAGCTAGTTCTTTGCCAACATCATCTAGGACCTCCATGTCCTCGTCTTCAATTTCTACTGTATGTGCTTCTCGCACATTGCAGGTGGACTTCATTGCTACCATGGAGAAATTTTTTGCCTGCACTTGATCCCCTCTGACCTCCTCAATCCCATGTTCGGTTGGGAATCGCAATAGCTGGTGCAATGTTAAGGGAACAGCCCTCATTGCTTGCAACCATGGTCTACCCATGATAACATTGTAAGGGGAGAGGGTGTCAATTACCGTAAACTCCGTGCTTACCTTTTTCGTGCTTGCCTACACCTCCAAATTCGTGGCTCCTAGAGGCCACGTCGGCATTCTATTGAACCCAAGTCAGGCTATGGGATTGTTCCAGATCATTGGGGTGGAGGCCAAGTTTCTTATAACATCTAACATACATGATGTCACAAGAACTGCCTTGATCAACCAGTATGCGCCTCACCTGGTACTCCCCAATTCTCAGCATTATCACCAGGGTATCGTTGTGTGGATGTTGCACCATATCCAGGTCTACCTCAATGAAAGAAACCATTGACCCCTGGTACTCATTCGTCCTAGGCTTTTTTTGCTGGACCTAATACACATGTTGTAGGTGCCTTACTCTCTGAATTTCCTCACGTACATCATTCTCATTAACTTTCGAGTGAATCACATTGATCACCCGAGGTCCATTTACTTGCTCCGGTGGCGGTGGTAGAGGTGGTGCTGCTAGTGCCTAGGGTCCTGACCTCATCTACTTGGTCTCTCAAGTGACCCTGTCTAACCAAATCCTCCAAGTGCGTCTTTCGAGCCCTACATCCTTGAGTTAAGTGCCCATCCTCATTATGGTAAGCACAATGCTTCCCAAGGTTCCTTCCCATAAACTCACCAGGGATCTTCTCCGGCGCTCTGTAATACGGTTAGTTCCTGATCCTTTCCAGAACTTTGTAAACTGGGATTCTGAATATAGTGGTGACTTCTTGTGCAGCCCTAAACCCTATTTCCCACTTATTAAAACCAGTATTACCTCAGCCTCGCTTTGGCGAGCCATTTCTCTTCTCCTGTTTTGGTGCCTTCGTCCCTGGCGTGTCCTCTTTTGCTCTAGCATACTTCTCGATCCGTGCCATTAGCTCCTCCATACTTTTTGGTAAAGTTTTTGCCAGCGATTTCTGAAGAAGGCATTCATCCTCCAAGCCGTTCTTAAAGGACATGACCGTTAGCTCCTAGTTGCAAGCAGGAATTCGGTTGAACACCTCGTAATACCTCTTGGCGTATGCCCTGAGGCTTTCACCTTCGCTAATGTTCAAAGCCAGCAGGGAGTCTACTCTTAGTGGCTGTAACTTGTTCGTAACAAACCTGGCCACAAACATCTCAACCAGGCCTTCCCAACTTTTCGCAGTTCCTTTTGACAACTTGTGGAACCAATCCGATGCGATTTCCCAAAGAATGATGGGAATACCTTGCACATTAACTGTTCGTTCCCGCTATACAAAGCCATTGAATTTAAATATAAGTTGACATGAAAGTTCGGATCAGACTTACCGTCATAAATCTGGAACCTCGGCATATGAAACCTTTTTGGGGCCTCAAACCTATCCAACTCCACTGAAAACGGCGTTCTCGGCTTGACGGGAGATGTGATCTCGACATTGAGTTGCTTTCTCTGGAGGTAGTCTCTCAGATCCTCCTTCATTCGACCAGGAGCTCAGCTATTAACAGATTTCAACCTTTGTGGCGCGCTGCTTCCGGCATCATTGTGCGTCCGTTTGGATTTCTCTTCATTTACTGTATCAAAGCAAAGGCCCTTCCCCTGGATATGCCGAGGTTCTTTTATATGGGTCCCCTTGGTTCGCTGTGTCTTCTGCGACTCACCTCTTATTGACTCCGATCCCCCGACATCCCTTGAAGCCCGATGTGAGCCCTCCTTTTCCTTGCCATGTTGCGGGACTACTAGGATTGTTTTCTGCCCCCCTTTCTGGGCATCAGTCTTGGCCGCCGGTACCGGCGTGTCCTGTAATGGGAACAGTGGTTGCATCACGTTATTTTGCATCATGAAGTTGACAACTGACTGTAGGTTCGCCAACTTGTTCGCCATCCCTTTCATCATGTCGTCTCTCCTCAAGCATCTATCCTTCCATACCTGCAGGTCTTTTTTGGTGTAATACTCATCTCAGCCAAATTTCTTCGGGGAGTTACCCTTTTTGCCGACATCCTTCTTCTAGGGATTCGGATTCTGTGCTCCTTCATTGTGGTTTTCTTCTCCAACGTTGGGATCTGCGTGTTCACAACTCTCACTGTTAATGTCATCCCCAATCTTTTCTTCATATCCGTCATTGGCCATCTATTCTCCTTAAGTTCCCACAAACGGCGCCAAATTGTGGATGTTGATTTTTTACCACACAACCAAAGAGGGAACTCAGTTGGAGAGTACCACCAGAATAGATTAAGCCCTGGTGGTTCGTCCACCCAGGGGCACTCTGACGATCAAGTTAGTAATCAATATCTCTCAAAGACAGCAAATTGTACTTAAACTTACAAGAAGGAACTTCCATCAGACCCAGAGGATGCCTTCTTTTTATTATCAGCAGTGACCTGGTTCCTTTAGAAGCCTCACCCCAATGGACTCAAACTCAATGCTTATTAGGGATGGCAATTTGAACCCGGCCCGATGGAGACCCGATCCCGATTAGAACAGGTTTTCCATGAAAATTATCCCCATAAGGCCGGGAATGGTATTAAAAATTAAATCCTCGATGATTTTCGGGCCAGGGACGGGAATAGATTCCCCCGGCCCCAGCCCCGGCCCGAGTAATCCCCGTATAATCCCCAAATATATATTCTGCAAATATATATATATATAGGTTACTTTTGAGACTCATTTTAGCCTCTCTTTTCTACTCACACTTATCTCTTTTCTCTCAAACTCTCTCCCTCTCGCTCTCTCTCTATGTTGCGGTGCTCACGGCGTCGGCGTCGGCAACTCCTCCTCTCTTTCTCACCGGCGTCACTCCTCCCTCATGGCGTCACGGCGACGGCTCCTCCTCTCTCTCACTGGCGGCCGCTCCTCTCTCTCTCTCGCGCGGTATGTCCTTTCTCTCTCTCTCACGATATGTCCTTCTCTCTCTCTCTCTTTGTTTTTTGATTTTGTTCTTCAGATCTGGAAGTTCTGGTCACTGGCGCCAAGATCCAAGTTGAGTAGTGAAGAGACGAATCTGGTGTATGCTAGGGTTTCGCCATTTCTATTGTTGAATCTGTCAAATATATAAGCTAGGAGTGAAGAGACGAATCTGGGTGTGTTGTTGATGATCCTCAAATCTGGAGCTAAATATATATGTTAAATCTGTTATTGTTGTTAAGTCTGTTGTGTTGTTGTTCATGAGTATTAAATCTGTTATTGTTAAATCTGTTATTGAATATCTGATCTGAAGCTGAAATTTTTTTTTTTTTGGTCGAGGACTTTTCGTGGTTGAGGAAACCCGATCCCGATTGGGAGGCGGGGCGATAACAAGTTCCCCGCCGAGGATCGAGGCCGGGGATGGGAAAATTTCCACTATCAGAGATCGAGGACGGGGAGTGCGATCCCTGCCCCGCCCCGTTGTCATTCCTAATGCTTATCCTGGACCCTCAGCTAAATAGGGATAAACTCTCATTGAGCCTTATCCTAATCCAGACTAAGATCCTCCCCTGTTCCAGGACTCTGGTCCCTTATCTGCTTATCTCGGATTCCGACGTCTCCACAGATAACCTCGGCGTAGTCGAGATCATCTTGGCAGTATGACCAAGCCACGTAACACCTCGGCAGGCACTTCAACATCACCTTTGTCACGTGTTGTCATTCATAAAATATGTCCCCACAAAAACTATAATCAAATTTGAGTGAAAACATTAATGTAGAAAATTTGATGAAGAATTTGATTCATCATTTATTTGGTGAAAATTTATCTCCCTTAATTTGATACAAGTTTGAAAAAATGATTGAAGCTTACTTTTAATTCTTTATTCTATCAAATTTGAATATGATAAAAGAATTGGTGGAGGACAGACTATACTCTTAGATAACGGCATATAATGAAAAATTGATATTGCAACCTGTGTAGGGATCAAACTAATATAATAGAAAAGTGAGACAAATGTAAAATTTAGGTAATGTGCAGGGGTTAAAGTGTAATTAACCCATCAAGCTCTTGTTTTCTCATTTGGATAATTAGTTTGTAGCTTTTATCAGCCCTTCCCTCTCATTGCACCATCTAACATGATTCAAAACAGTTCAAAGGAAAACTTGATATGCATATCAATAAAGAAATCACTGGTTACAAACCTTTGATATGAAGATCAAGCCATTCAAATTTTTTTCATGAGAAGTTGGACATAAAATCCGAAGAGACCTATGGTCTTATAGACCGGACCCTGCTCTTGACTTTCAATAATAAATTTATCACTATACAAAAAAAAAAAATCAAAACATAAAATTTAATTACTTTCACTTTCCACATCATAATTCAATACAAACACACGCAAATACACTAAAAATAAATCAAATCTCACAAACAAAATCCAAAACATCCCAATCATTTATCGCATTGATAAATTTCTCAGTATCAGTACTAAATGATCATTTGACAAAGACAAAGCATACATCAAAAGTGTCTCAAATTTTTCTCCTTATCAAAACGAGGGGCAAATACATAGAAGTATTCAATTAGGACTTACGATAAATAAACCTGATCCATAGGACCTACTGGTAATTATCCACTATCCAAACCAAACAATAACGGCTTTAAGCTATGCCTATCTATGCCTATCACGAGCAACGTCACTCTTCAAGCAACCTATGCTACATCACTCAAGATTAGGGTAAGATGTACCCTAAAGGCTGACATGGACTTGATAGAAAAGGTTTGGAAAGAATTGGATCCAACTTCAAGAAAGGAATCAAGATATACCTTACGTAGATTCATTCATCAAAAAGAGAAGAAGATAAATGAGTATATGGAGGAATTTGTAACCATTTGTATGGAATTCATGTTACAACATGCGTAAGCTACTGACACGAGAGAAAAAAAAAAAAAATCATATATACAGTATTTTAAAAATATAATGTGATGTACTATACATGTACACAAACTCCAGGGGAACGGCAAGTACTGATGTGTAACTGTAGTTTTTGGTGATGAAATTGACTGAGACAACCATCTAATCTTAAAAAATTCTGATATGTAATCGAAGCCTTAGATTCCACCCGACAAACACTTCAAAGGTCACAACAATCTGTTAGCTTCAATCATGGAAGCTTTCTCCTGCAAAAGAACGAAAAGGAGAGGAAATGAAACAAAGAAATGAAAACATCACTCTTACATCCCTCGTAGAAAAAGTGTTTTTTGCAAGAAAATTTTAGCTTCCAGAGCAAATTGCATTCCAGAGGGAACAAGGTAGAACTAAAAGAGCCACAACCAGAAATTCCAAAAATGGGCTTCTTCGGGAGTTATAGTTCTTTGGTGTAGCTTATAGAGCTACTTATAAGTAGCTTTTTTATTTTAAAAATCCGTGCCAATGTATTTGATACAGTTTTTACTTATAACTTATGAGATAGAAATAGCTTATGGGCTTCTTCGGGAGTTATAGTTGTTTGGTGTAGCTTATAGAGCTACTTATAAGTAGCTTTTTTATTTTAAAAATCCGTGCCAATGTATTTGATACAGTTTTTACTTATAACTTATGAGATAGAAATAGCTTAGATAAGCTGAAAAAAACAAATTATTAGCTTTTAACTTCTAATTATGATTATCAGCTTTTACCTTGTTAGAAGCTACACCAAACACGCCCATTATAAAGATGTCAGCTTTCTTGTCATTTTCAATGGTTATTTTCCATTGCTCCAATTGTTTTAACACGAACAGAAATCATGTGTGAAATGTGTGATTATGAATCAGACAACAATTAACAGCATGCTATAGATTGTTTTATACTTTTCTCGTATCTGGTTTTTTAAACCTGTCTTCTATGCAGTTCCGTTTTTTCATCTTTTCCCCTTTTGTGAACGTGTGTGTTGAAGCAGTTCTTTTCTTTATGTTACAGAGTAGGTAGCCATGGTGTTTACATATTATGCAACAAATAATTTAGGAAAAGCAGTTCCAGCAATTACACAATGAAAAAATAAAATAAAATAAAATAAAAACAAATCATGCGTGTTTTAAGGCTCTCTTGGGGATGCAGAGCAGTCTCCTAAATGATAAACGGTCATTTGTTAGAAATGTTAGGCCATGTTTGTTTGGGCGGACTAGATTAGCATTCCCATGACTAATAGTCCTAGGACTACGAATCCGTGGATTATGTATCCTATTTTAACTAATAGTCAAGTTTAAAATAATTAATCCGTACTTCAATTGTTTAACCAAATATCGGATTAATAATTTTATTGGACTATTAGTCCAATCCCAAACTCATGTCCACCCAAACAAACATGACCTTATAGTACTACAAAATAGGCAAGCACACACCAAGCATCCCTAAGGATTAACTTTTGAAAGATATTCAGCATTTGGAAGATCTTAATAATATAATCCTGCTTCAAACTGTACGAGAATGTTAATGAGATTTACACAATCATCTCTTAATCTACAGCATGCATAACAATATTACCATAACAAAATCTTCTGAAGATGAGAAAGAGTTGAAGAATTATTTAGTAACTACGATAATGTGAATATAGCATCTAGGTGGGTCCAAAATGCATAGAAATACATTGAGAGAGAGAGAGAGAGAGAGAGAGAGTTATGAACCTCATTCTGTGTGCTATTCTCTGCGGGAAACCAGTGCATGAGAGCACCCAAGTGCATCATAGCAGGTATCAACTTGAACAGGACAGGAGTTGTTACCTGTAGTAATCTCCACTAGGATAAATATTGCATGAACAAAATAAAAAAAGCTCTAGATGCAGTTCCAATATATGAAAAACTTACCAGACTCAGTGCTGTTGTTCCAAGAAGAAGAATATACATCTTCCCCTAAAGAAATTAACCAAGTTTTACATTGTAAACAAAAGGAACAAATTTACATTTGAGATGTCAAAAGAATAATTCAATAATAACCAACAAAAATAAAATAAAAATGAACAAACAAAAAATATATGGAAAAGAAGAGCTTATGCCCATGAAACTGGATGATACTATGCAGTCAAACAGAAGACAAACCCCCCAAAAGTAATTTGTGTTCAACACTTAAAATAAAGTAAACTTTGCCTGAATGTGTTCCGTTTTTTTCTATTAAATGATTTTCCTTATGTAATTTAATGTTTTTTAAAGTTCGAAGGTGGCCACCGACATTAATCTTATGATTTTACCAAATGTAACTTATAAACTAAAGCTTGAGTTCTATTCACTATTGAAATCAACGATTCAGTTTGCAAGTGTTGAACAACTCTGTGACCAATTCAGTTGCCATACAAAGTACAAATTATCTGTGAAAAATAGCAAGAGTCAAGCATCTATCCTTCCATACCTGCAGGTCTTTTTTGGTGTAATACTCATCTCAGCCAAATTTCTTCGGGGAGTTACCCTTTTTGCCGACATCCTTCTTCTAGGGATTCGGATTCTGTGCTCCTTCATTGTGGTTTTCTTCTCCAACGTTGGGATCTGCGTGTTCACAACTCTCACTGTTAATGTCATCCCCAATCTTTTCTTCATATCCGTCATTGGCCATCTATTCTCCTTAAGTTCCCACAAACGGCGCCAAATTGTAGATGTTGATTTTTTACCACACAACCAAAGAGGGAACTCAGCTGGAGAGTACCACCAGAATAGATTAAGCCCAACAACCTGTAACAAGAAAATGAGAATACTGTTGTGGTTCGTCCACCCGGGGGTACTCTGACGATCAAGTTAGTAATCAATATCTCTCAAAGATAGCAAATTGTACTTAAACTTACAAGAAGGAACTTCCATCAGACCCAGAGGATGCCTTCTTTTTATTATCAGCAGTGACCTGGTTCCTTTAGAAGCCTCACCCCAATGGACTCAAACTCAATGCTTATTAGGGATGGCAATTTGAACCCGGCCCGATGGAGACCCGATCCCGATTAGAACAGGTTTTCCATGAAAATTATCCCCATAAGGCCGGGAATGGTATTAAAAATTAAATCCTCGATGATTTTCGGGCCAGGGACGGGAATAGATTCCCCCGGCCCCAGCCCCGGCCCGAGTAATCCCCGTATAATCCCCAAATATATATTCTGCAAATATATATATATATAGGTTACTTTTGAGACTCATTTTAGCCTCTCTTTTCTACTCACACTTATCTCTTTTCTCTCAAACTCTCTCCCTCTCGCTCTTTCTCTATGTTGCGGTGCTCACGGCGTCGGCGTCGGCAACTCCTCCTCTCTTTCTCACCGGCGTCACGGCGGCGGCTCCTCCTCTCTCTCACTGGCGGCCGCTTCTCTCTCTCTCTCGCGCGGTATGTCCTTTCTCTCTCTCACGATATGTCCTCTTTCTCTCTCTCTCTCTCTTTGTTTTTTGATTTTGTTCTTCAGATCTGGAAGTTCTGGTCACTGGCGCCAAGATCCGAGTTGAGTAGTGAAGAGACGAATCTGGTGTATGCTAGGGTTTCGCCATTTCTATTGTTGAATCTATCAAATATATAAGCTAGGAGTGAAGAGACGAATCTGGGTGTGTTGTTGATGATCCTCAAATCTGGAGCTAAATATATATGTTAAATCTGTTATTGTTGTTAAATCTGTTGTGTTGTTGTTCATGAGTATTAAATCTGTTATTGTTAAATCTATTATTGAATATCTGATCTAAAGCTGAAATTTTTTTTTTTTTGGCCGAAGACTTTTCGAGGTTGAGGAAACCCGATCCCAATTGGGGGGCGGGGGCGGTAACAAGTTTCTCGTCGAGGATCGAGGCCGGGGATGGAAAAATTTCCACTATCAGGGATCGAGGACGGGGAGTGCGATCCCTGCCCTGCCCCGTTGTCATTCCTAATGCTTATCCTGGACCCTCAGCTAGATAGGGATAAACTCTCATTGAGCCTTATCCTAATCCAGACTAAGGTCCTCCCCTGTTCTAGGACTCTGGTCCCTTATCTGCTTATCTCGAATTCCGACATCTTCACAGATAACCTTGGCGTAGTCGAGATCACCTTGGCAGTATGACCAAGCCACGTGACACCTCGGCAGACATTTCGACATCACCTTTGTCACGTGTTGTCATTCATAAAATATGTCTCCACAAAAACTATAATCAAATTTGAGTGAAAACATGAATGTAGAAAATTTGATGAAGAATTTGATTCATCATTGATTTGGTAAAAATTTATCTCCCTTAATTTGATACAAGTTTGAAAAAATGATTGAAGCTTACTTTTAATTCTTTATTCTATCAAATTTGAATATGATAAAAGAATTGGTGGAGGACAGAATATACTCTTAGATAACGGCATATAATGAAAAATTGATATTGCAACCTGTGTAGGGATCAAACTAATATAATAGAAAAGTGAGACAAATGTACAATTTAGGTAATGTGCAGGGGTTAAAGTGTAATTAACCCATCAAGCTCTTGTTTTCTCATTTGGATAATTAGTTTGTAGCTTTTATCAGCCCTTCACTCTCATTGCACCATCTAACATGATTCAAAACAGTTCAAAGGAAAACTTGATATGCATATCAATAAAGAAATCAATGGTTACAACTTCTAAAGGCTGACATGGACTTAATAGAAAAGGTTTAGAAAGAATTGGATCCAACTTCAAGAAAGGAATCAAGATATGTCTTACGTAGATTCATTCATCAAAAAGAGAAGATAAATGAGTATATGGAGGAATTTGTAACCATTTGTATGGAATTCATGTTACAACATGCGTAAGCTACTGACACGAGAGGAAAAAAAAAATCATATATACAGTATTTTAAAAATATAATGTGATGTACTATATATGTACACAAACTCCAGGGGAACGGCAAGTACTGATGTGTAACTGTAGTTTTTGGTGATGAAATTGACTGAGACAACCATCTAATCTAATCTTAAAAAATTCTGATATGTAATCGAAGCCTTAGATTCCACCCGACAAACACTTCAAAGGTCACAACAATCTGTTAGCTTCAATCATGGAAGCTTTCTCCTGCAAAAGAACGAAAAGGAGAGGAAATGAAACAAAGAAATGAAAACATCACTCTTACATCCCTCGTAGAAAAAGTGTTTTTTGCAAGAAAATTTTAGCTTCCAGAGCAAATTGCATTCCAGAGGGAACAAGGTAGAACTAAAAGAGCCACAACCAGAAATTCCAAAAATGGGCTTCTTCGGGAGTTATAGTTCTTTGGTGTAGCTTATAGAGCTACTTATAAGTAGCTTTTTTATTTTAAAAATCCGTGTCAGTGTATTTGATACAGTTTTTGCTTATAACTTATGAGATAGAAATAGCTTATGGGCTTCTTCGGGAGTTATAGTTGTTTGGTGTAGCTTATAGAGCTACTTATAAGTAGCTTTTTTATTTTAAAAATCCGTGCCAATGTATTTGATACAGTTTTTACTTATAACTTATGAGATAGAAATAGCTTAGATAAGCTGAAAAAAACAAATTATTAGCTTTTAACTTCTAATTATGATTATCAGCTTTTACCTTGTTAGAAGCTACACCAAACACGCCCATTATAAAGATGTCAGCTTTCTTGTCATTTTCAATGGTTATTTTCCATTGCTCCAATTGTTTTAACACGAACAGAAATCATGTGTGAAATGTGTGATTATGAATCAGACAACAATTAACAGCATGCTATAGATTGTTTTATACTTTTCTCGTATCTGGTTTTTTAAACCTGTCTTCTATGCAGTTCCGTTTTTTCATCTTTTCCCCTTTTGTGAACGTGTGTGTTGAAGCAGTTCTTTTCTTTATGTTACAGAGTAGGTAGCCATGGTGTTTACATATTATGCAACAAATAATTTAGGAAAAGCAGTTCCAGCAATTACACAATAAAAAAATAAAATAAAATAAAATAAAAACAAATCATGCGTGTTTTAAGGCTCTCTTGGGGATGCAGAGCAGTCTCCTAAATGATAAACAGTCATTTGTTAGAAATGTTATAGTACTACAAAATAGGCAAGCACACACCAAGCATCCCTAAGGATTAACTTTTGAAAGATATTCAGCATTTGGCAGATCTTAATAATATCATCCTGCTTCAAACCGTACGAGAATGTTAATGAGATTTACACAATCATCTCTTAATCTACAGCATGCATAACAATATTACCATAACAAAATGTTCTGAAGATGAGAAAGAGTTGAAGAATTATTTAGTAACTACGATAATGTGAATATAGCATCTATCCAAAATGCATAGAAATACATTGAGAGAGAGTTATGAACCTCATTCTGTGTGCTATTCTCTGCGGGAAACCAGTGCATGAGAGCACCCAAGTGCATCATAGCAGGTATCAACTTGAACAGGACAGGAGTTGTTACCTGTAGTAATCTCCACTAGGATAAATATTGCATGAACAAAATAAAAAAAGCTCTAGATGCAGTTCCAATATATGAAAAACTTACCAGACTCAGTGCTGTTGTTCCAAGAAGAAGAATATACATCTTCCCCTAAAGAAATTAACCAAGTTTTACATTGTAAACAAAAGGAACAAATTTACATTTGAGATGTCAAAAGAATAATTCAATAATAACCAACAAAAATAAAATAAAAATGAACAAACAAAAAATATATGGAAAAGAAGAGCTTATGCCCATGAAACTGGATGATACTATGCAGTCAAACAGAAGACAAACCCCCCAAAAGTAATTTGTGTTCAACACTTAAAATAAAGTAAACTTTGCTTGAACGTGTTCAGTTTTTTTCTATTAAATGATTTTCCTTATGTAATTTAATGTTTTTTAAAGTTCGAAGGTGGCCACCGACATTAATCTTATGATTTTACCAAATGTAACTTATAAACTAAAGCTTGAGTTCTATTCAATATTGAAATCAACGATTCAGTTTGCAAGTGTTGAACAACTCTGTGACCAATTCAGTTGCCATACAAAGTACAAATTATCTGTGAAAAATAGCAAGAGCGAGGTCAAGATCAAGATCATAACTATTAGATTAATGTCTCTGAGTTGAAAATTTATCAACATGGCTGGTTGCCTGCCATGTTGTCCACCAAACATTACACACAACTAGTCTCCGGAATTTGTGCAAGAAATAATTGGCCCAGTGCTAGCAACATTATAAGTATGCCATTCACATTACCAACAAAAGATAAAGTAAATGAAAGTGGGATCTACATTACAGACATCAACATGCATGCCTTAAGAATGTGTGTCTGTGCTAGAAAAGAGAGAGATTACCTCAACGAGATGAAGATTTGAGGCACGGCTTAAGAGAACAAAAGAAAATTCTCCAATCTGAGCAAGCAATACTCCAACCTTGACATAAGTCAGCAATTACAAATTAAGAATTTGCATACTTAAACGGTCCAACATAAAGCAAAGTGAACAACTTACCAGAAATGAAGTCCTGGTGCTATATCCAAATGCCTTGGTAACCATAGCAGCAACAGTGGTCTTAACAACTATAACCAGAATAACAGATGCCAACAATATATCCACATGGGTCCACAGGAATTGTACATGTATGAGCATTCCAATACTCGAAAGGAAGAGAGCAGCAAATAGATTACGGATTGGTTCCACCTACAACATAGAGCAGAAAATTTGAACTTCTCCCTAATTGCACATCTACATACAACATGTGATAATTTGTAAGTACACGGTTAGAATTTCCACTGCCTGTACTTCAAGTACTCTTTCTCCTCCCCTGCAAAGTGAACTTTCATACTTAACTCTGCTAACCTCAAAGAAATATCATTTCAATGCTTTTAGCCCTTTATATCATCAGCAATAACAGGTAAACTTGGCTACTGAAGCAGTGAGTGAAAACTCTAGGTTGAGAGATGAAGGTACCAAGGTTGTTAAAATCGGGATCCTAAGTAGGATCGGTGAGAGAGTCTGGTGGATCGGATCGTAGGATCGGATCGAGGATGGTAAGATCCTAAAAATTAAAATTAAAATGATACATATTAAAAATAAGGTGAAAAATTATAAAATCTACGATCCTACTTGCGATCCTACCTACGATCCTATACGATCCTACAACGATCTGGATCGTTTTGGCAAAGTAGGATCGTAGGATCGTACGATCCTATGATCCGGATCGCGATTTTAACAACCATGGAAGGTACCAACAGTATTGGTCGAGACTCAAAACGCAACTTCTTTTTTTTTTTTTTTTGGTTCACAACTTCTTTTTTTTTTTTTTTGGTTCACCAAAAGAGATCTTACGGAGACAATTAATTTCATTGTAGATTTAGATTATATATATTTAAATCGCCACTAAAAATTCCATACCAGGACGATAAAGAAACAGACAGTCAACCAAAGTAAAGAAAATAAAATATACTCCATTAGGTGGGAACTAACTTGCATACAACTTTTTGGAGATCATTTGAATTCAATTAATGACTCTTGCTTTCCCAGCTTCTTCCAGGCTCTCTGTCCACTGGGCCAAAGCCCAGCATAAAATCAGGGTGCATGGTTGGATCAAGGAAACCCACAGTTTAATTCAAACGAAGTAGTTGGCCTCAAACTCACTTGCATTTTCAAGTGTGAAAATTTTCACACTGGAGGTCAAAGTTTCTACGTTGCACAACGAAATGGCCGAATGGGTACAAAAAAAGAGGGAAAGTAACTTAATAAGCGAAACTTAAAGTTCCTAACAAAGGGAAGGAATCTGAACCCTCTGGAGGATAGTTATAGGAACAAGTACCTCATAAACCCCAAGGTATGACATATGAAGCTGTTGACATTTTAGTGAAGTACGCCCATACCCTTGTTTAAAAAATCACTTGATAGCATAAAAACTCTTTTTTTTGCAGTTTTCATGTTAGATTTATTAACATGAATTACAATTGGTGTAAGCATTTTCCAAGAATAGTACCTGATCTAGAGTATGCTGTGCAAAGTCAGTGGTTGATATCATAACTCCAGCCACAAATGAACCCAACTCAAGACTAAGGCCGAGCTTGTCACTGCACTGAAGGTTAACAGGGTATAAGTAAAAATGACAATGAGATAGCATTAAAAAGTGGGAAAATTGCATTTCAGTGGAGCAGTGGCAAGAAAAATTACATTTTCACGATAGTGCAACTCTCCTGTGCATGGTGCAAATTCATTCTTGTGCTTGGTGCAACTCTTCATGTGTGTTTTTGCACCCAAAAAAAAATTTCATTTATAGTGCAATCATTTTGTGACTGTCCCATCTATTGGCAATTTCCCCTTAAAAAGTTGTGTACCTAATTCCTGCTCAAATTTTAATATGTTCAAGCTAAGAAATAATTACACTCGATGTTCTCCGTACCCTTAGATTATCACCTCATTTTGCAGAAGCCCAATAATAAGCCAACATTCAATATCCAAAGGCATTAAATTGTTGATGTGAAAACCTATCTACAAGACCATGAATGTCCATTATGTACAAAATGTTTCATTTGTTCTATCCTATTATTTTCAGTTGAAGTGGATTGACAGCAAAAAAATGTCTGGAGTCATATTTCATTAAAAAATTATACCGTGCTCATGATGCGCACATTTGGGTGTTGAGATCATCAACAGAAAAAAGAATACTTCGATGTATGTTTGCAGACTACAAAACTCTCCATAAGGTTTACTGGAGAAGCTTTTTTGTTTATTTTCTTTTTTGATTGGGTGATACAGGTGATTAGACTAAAAAGCCAGAATAGTTGATGCAAATTTTGGATCCTCTGGAAAGACGAGGGAAGAAACATTCCTGACTTTTTAACAAGCTTCAGTCAACAATAAACAATTGGATTGGGACTTCATACACCAAGAATCATAGAGATCAATCCTTCTCTCCCTCCAGAAAATGTGAATGGAATTCTTGCTACCCAAGTCTGGCAAGTTATTGAGATGCCATCAACAGTTAACAAGCTTCAGTCAACAATAAACAATTGGATTGGGACTTCATACACCAAGAGTCATAGAGATCAATCCTTCTCTCCTTCCTCCAGAAGGTGTAGATCAAAATGTGAATGGAATTCTTGCTACCCAAGTGTGGCAAGTTATTGAGATGCCATCAACAGTTAAATTCTAAGTTTGTCAAAGGCCTCAAGGAAGCTCCCACTGGTTTAATGTATCTGATTGTTCAAATAGCAAGGTCTGGGAGAGGTAGAACTGTAGTACATAGGCAGCCTTCCCCCCACTTTTTTTGGTGTAGAGGCTACTGTAAAAGCCCACTTCACAAGCCATCTACTTTTTTTGTTCCAGTATGCCATTACAATGCTGATCACAGTAAAAAATGTCTTCCTACTCATTTCCTTACTCCAAATTCAAGCTCTAGCTTTCTGCATATCACTTTCTTTTTTCAAAAAACAAAAAAAGAGCTAAGATCATCCAAACCTTTCACCACTTCCAATTTCAGCTTCAACACAGTAAAATTCAATCCACCATCACAGATTGTATTGAAGAGCTTGCCGCTTAACAAGTAAATTTGGTTATTCGGGAACCACAAAACCTGAACCACCCATCCAAACTGACTGAAACCGAAGCTGCACGGTTGATTTCGAATCAATGAACGGTCAGCAGACGTTTAATCTCAATCAATTATTTCGAATTCTCAGATGTTAACGGCTCTAAATTATGCTCACCCGTCAAAATCGACCCGCCCGAATATATATATATATATAAAGATGAGATTACACACAGGTGGCATGATTATGTAGGTTTATTGAGATTATGATCAACAGCTGTCTTCTATCATTGAATAAACAATTTGGAAAATGTCAATTTTCTCACATTTCTCAACAAAGCTATCTTTCTACCAATTAATAAAAAAAAATGGAAAAATATAGTTTCTCTCACATGTCCCAACAAAATTCAAAAATCAACAGGCTCTTCATCTTCATCTTTCCGATATCTCAAGTCCCAAGTCTATCTCTTGGTCTCCCCCATGAAACCCTTGATCTCGTTTACTCTCACCTGTGATTCTTTCACCTTCAAGTCTCAGTCGATACCTTCACGCTTCAATCAGACCGAATAGAACTTTTGCTCTCAACCCTTAAACTCTCTCATGGCAATGGTGGAGGATAATAGTCCGATCTCCCTCGGTAGAGTGATACAATGACCACAGCATCGATGAAGGCATAACCAGATTTGATATTTTGACTGGTGATTTCTTCTACACTACAGATTTGATTTTTTTTTTCCCTGTACATCTCTTAGATTTATATCTATATATGTATATTTTCATATTTGTATCTGTCTACTGGAGCGTTTATATATATATATATATATATCTCCTTGCTACTACTAAATCTTCTCACTACAACCGACCGCCAAACAGAAGTTGTCACTCGGTCGATTTCGAAGAGGTGGTTGGTCGACAATGGATGAGAACTATTCCAACCCGAAACATCCTGTTCGGTTGACAGGCCAATGGCAAACCTGACTTGAAAATTAATGATGATTAAAAAATGAATTACACCTTCAGCAATAGAGAGAATAAATTTTGCATCTATATTCACATTTTGCATCTATAATTTTTTTCCAAAATGACCATAATTATATGCACTTACCCAAGCAGATAATAAGCAGAATGCCACTGAAGCTAGCTGGTAAAGTTCATTTGTCTGACAAACCACAAACAAAATTAGCCACAAAAAAATAAATAAATCCTAAAATTAACAAAATAAAAAGACACGGCAAAATAATCACTAGGGCATGAAGAATATGCGGCCTGTTCATAGTTAGTACATAAGATCCAGACACAAACCAAGGCTCAACCCAAAAACACCACTTTAAGTCATACAAATATGCTTCTTTACAAAGCTGAGTAAAACATTCAAATACGAACTTCTCTTTCATTGCATGATCAGATTGGATGCTAATGTCTCTTTACCTTCTTTCTCTAGCAGCTTCAGTCTTGTAAAATTTGGGTCATAAGTGACTGTGATTGCAATAAATATAATCTACCTATTTATAGGTCTAATCCCAATGGGAATGGATTCAGTGCAAAGTTCAATAATAACCTACACGTGTGCATTAGCAAAAAAAAAAAAAAACTATCAAATTCAAATTCTCATAGGGTTGGTGATAATGCCACGAAGGGTTTTTATAGTGCCACGAAGGTTTGCCTAAAATGTCACTTTTGCCCATCATACAAATTCTGAGTCTCAACTCTTCTGGTCTCTCTCCCATTTCTCTCTCATCTTTTCTCACCCTCGTTCTTTTCTCTCTCTTTGAGCATAGAAATAGGTTTTGTTCATGCAACTCTTGACTCTCGACGTGATTGCCATGAATTTGGATATGATGAACAATTGGGTTAAGCATAAAACCTGGTGGCCAATGCTGCAGGTTGAGTCCAAAAAAGAAATAAAGAAGAAGCAAGTTGCAACATGAGCCTTTGCAAATTGCAATGCTAGTTTTATTGTGCATGCAACGGCACATTCTAATTAGATTGGAAAATGCTCTAGTTAGCACACCTAACAGTAAGAATTTTATCATCCATTTTAATTCCCTTCAGCAGAACAAGCAATGTTTGTAACTAAAGAGATCTGGGTAAACACAGAATGCATAGACTTCAGAGTTTCTAGTTTCTCTATCCTTCACAAAATCAAAACCTTGAAGGGGCCCAAATTTTCCACACTCTGATCTCATGTCGTCCATTATGTTTTTGTAGTCATCATCATCATCTTTTTGCTCATGCGCACTAACCGCTTGGGGGATTTGAATCTGGAGAACAAGACCTAGTCTGATCTCATATCTATTCTCAAATAAAACAGTACTATTTCAAAATTATTTTGTTGAAGACAAAGAAAAACTCAATTATTGTAATAAAATATCTCAATCTGTTTCATGGCGAGGTTGTCCAGTGTGCTTTAATTTCATGGATGGAAATCAGTGATTACAGCAATGTTTACCAATGACGATCCAAGAGGGTCTGGGAAAGTCAATCAGTGTCTGGATTGTTAAAGGGAGATGAGGACAGAGAAAAGATGAGAGATGAAGGAAGGAGGGAGGGAGAAAGGGATGAGAAAGAGACAAGGAAAGAGAAGAGAAAAGGAAAAGAGAGGGTGAGAGCGGACAAATGGATGAGAGACGAGCGAAAGATTCAGAAAGGGTGGGACTGCAGAATCAGAATTTTAAGCAAACATTCATGGCATGATAAAAAGTATCTGTGGCCTTATCGCCACCCATTCCCATAATTGGATTGGGTTTTAGATACATCCAATATATGTGTGCACATGTATTCAGAATATCTTACAGTTAGACAAAATCATATCAGCCAGAAGTGTACAGATAATGGATCTTCAGATATGAATTTGCCATCAGCAACTGGTAGTCAATTAACATAGTTGGATTATTGCAGCCTAAGATGACATCATTCATAGAATCTCATCGGAAGTCCAACTACACATTTGTTTATTGGCAAGTACAAGTTTTTTTTAGAACAAGACACAAAGAAAATACATAAATTCCCAACAATCACTCACCTGAGATGATAGCTGTATCATCAGCTTTAGAAATCGAGGAATGAACGACCAAGTCAATACAGACACAACAGAGAGATATATGGACAAGACCAGTAGCCTGAAGTTAAATAACAATGGCAAGTTAAATCCGGTTGAGAAAATTTTCCAACAAAGTGCACTTGCAAGCACAAGCAAAAAATAGCAACTTCAGAAAGTGGTTCTTTACTTAATCATGAAAGTAGGTTATATGAGTATAGAAATCACCTACATGATATGAGAAAAATGAAAAAGACAGAAGAATTAAGCTTAAGAATGAACCTACAGCTTTCCCATTGAGATCATTCCATACAAAATGCCGCTATTACCACCCAGAACTGGGAGCAAAGCAAATAGTAAACCAACAGCACAATCCTGAAATAATCAGTGGTAAAGGAAGCAATGGATATGCACAATGAAATCAAGAATGTTCTCATTGACTTATATTCATTATTAATAAATTTACTATCTGAAAACCAATAGGTCACAAGATACCTGAAAAATAAGTGTCCCAATCGTAACCTGACCATGAAGAGCATTATTACTGTTCCGCTCTACCAGAAATTTCACCACCTGTTGAAAGGAAATGTGCAAAAATATGACCATCAATCAGATTGTGGCAAGCATATGAGAGAAAGGAAAATGCACATAATAACAGAAATGGACAGCAAATATACCACTGCTGTTGATGACATAGAAAGGAAAAAACCAACAAATACACCATCCGATAACTTTGCTCCACATAGCTGCAGCAGTTGGCAGATTGTCAAACATCACACACCTTCAAATCAGAACTTCATATTTCTAACAAAGCCAGTAAAAAATAGTATGCATTGGTGCTTTACATAATAACTGAATCTCAGAACTATACCATAGCAGTTATGCCACATAAACACACCAATATAGCTATTTGAAGTAGCCCTCCAAGAATAGCAACAGGACCAACAACTTTTAGCTGCAGCATGTGACAAGTTATGAGTCTTAGGACCACTTCCCTAAAGGAAGGAACAAGCCAATTGAAACAACCAAACTTTCCAAACAAGGTACTATAAGGTAGTTGACTAATGACAATATCACTAGCAGAAGACATTAAACCTTTGTCAGAGAAAACTCCAGTCCTAAAGCAAATAGAAGGAAGACAACACCAAACTGAGCAACTGTCTCGACCTGTAAGTGTAACAATAGGAAAACAAAGGAACATCTCCAGGTTACACACATAAGTTTCTAGAACAACAGCACTTTAAAGGTTGCAGCTAAAAACAAATTAACAACAAATAATTAGCAAGTAATTCAAAGAGAGGACATTTAAATAAATAAATAAAGAAGCAAATTATTGCCAGAGTGTCAAACAAATCCTCAACTGAGGTGTTGGAGCATCAAAACTGAATGAGAATAGAATGATTTTAAGAACTGAAAATATTACAAAATAATTACAATGCGAGCAAGGAAATTAAAAAGCCAACAACGGAGTTGAAAACCCGCAAATATGTGTATATAGAGAGAAAGAGAGTTAGGTTCATATTATATAGACAGAAAATATGAAGTGGTATTTAGAATAAAACCCCAAAACCACCAAAAATTCAACAATTTTGATACTTATGCACAATTATGCATAGGAGGGAGATTGGTGATATGATATTAACCATCAAATTAAAGTAGGATGGGCTAAGTAGATGAATGTTTCCAATCTCATGGGGTCAACACAAACCTATGAAATTATAAGGAAAGTTCTGCAACACGGATATAAGACCAAGTGTGGTTTATGGTTGCAATGATGGGCGACCAAGAAACATGTTCATAAAATGATAGTAGCCGAGCTACAAATGTTAAGATGGATATTTGATAAAACAAGGAAGGATAATGATGCAGAGTATAAGAAGTTCAAGGAAGGCTAAATTTAGAGAAGTAATGATACTTGGACATTGACATGATTTCATAAGAAACTGATAAAAATCTTCTATAATTATGTTTCTAGTATGATTAGTCTTATTTTATAATTATTTTTATATTTTCTAGGATTTTTAAGGTTAGGGGTATTTTGGTAATTTTATGTTTATTGACATGGGTCGCCCATGGGTCATCTTGTGGATCAAGTTATTTAATTAGCCTTTGTTTTTGTTTATTGTTTGGTCTTAAATTAGTTTTAGAAATTAAAGATATTTTAATGTTTTCATTTTTTTTGTTGTAGTTGGCTTAGAAAGTCTCCTAATCCTATATAAAGCCATGTAATGCTTATAATTTAAGGGAGTTGCTTCTCTTTCTTTCCCTCTTTAATTTCAGCACTTTGAACAGCCCAAAATACTGTTCACGGGCACTGTTTACAGTGTCCAAAACAGTCCAAATTAGTTTTAAAAATTAAAGATATTTTAATGTTTTCATTTTTTTTGTTGTAATGCCATGTAATGCTTATAATTTAAGGGAGTTGCTTCTCTTTCTTTCCCTCTTTAATTTCAGCACTTTTAACAGCCCAAAATACTGTTCACGGGCACTGTTTACAGTGTCCAAAACAGTCCAAAATTTCAATCTTCCAGCTTATTACATTAAGCCCCTAACCCTAATTCTTCTATATACTAGTAAAAGCCCTAATTTTTCATTACTTTTCAGCTTGAAATCACAATAAAAACACACAGAATCCAGCTTTGCCGTTCTCACAGCGTTGTCCCTAATCGTCCTACATCAGATAAAAGTAGGAAAAGTTGTGAGACAGTAAGAGTAGCACTTGTACAAAATAAAATGAGAAAAAACTAACAAAGATGGTTTGGCTATGTAAAGCGAAGACTAGTAAGGAAAAGTGAAATTTTCCACATTGAGGGTAATGATTAGAACGAGGGAGACCGAAACTCAAGCAGCTTAATTGAAAAACAAAAAACATGCTAGTATGTGGTTTAACTGAAAATATGTCCACAATCGATCGGAAGGGCAAAACAGGATTAATTTAGTCAAACCCAAATGATTGAGATAAGGCTTTGTTGAGTTAAATTTAGTTATTTATTAATAAATACAAGAACTTAACTCAACTCAGCATGCCAAAAAGCCAATTCCGCAGGACAGCTTACATGAATGCACCTTCTCTAGTTGTCCCTACTTGTCCTCCGAAAAGTGCGCAAGCAAGTGCAACCATGTAATTGAATGGGAAAAGCAATAGATATCCTACCACTAGACTACACCATCTTATTGTTATAGTTTTATTTTAAATTTATTAAAAGAGCACCAAGGAAAATGATGTATAAAGTATAAGCAATACACATTACACACACTTAAAAATAAAACATAAAAAGAAGAGTCCACATTATGCATTACAAGCATGCAATCCAGCATGAGAGAAAACCCATCATCCTCTTTAATTGAAAAGAAAAAATAAGAGATGCACATTTTGATCCTTTTGTGAGCAGATTGATGGCATAGCACACAGAGTGCAAGCGAGAAAGGAAGAGGGAGAGAGAGAGAACAATATGTTCTTGGTCTCATGAATAAAATATTCCATCTCCTTGAAAACTGATCCGAAAACAGAATCATGAATCAAATTCCAAACTTACTCCCAATATTTGACCAGGCCTTCATCACCATGGATGAAAGAACACAACAACATGCAATCTAGACATGCAGAAACCTCAAATACCAGAAGCAACTAGAGTTAATCTAAAATGGTCCTTCCATTGAGAGCTCACTGAAGACATGATGCAGCAATTTATGGCTTATAATATGACGAGGGGTAGTTGTGAACTTGTCAAAAGTAAATTGCCAAAAATATATCATAGGCACCATATACTTCACAAAAAGTTAACATGAAAAGGACCAGAAATCAAACATAGTAGTAGTTAAAGAAAATCACCAAGCTTTTAGCACTGTCAAATGTTTTGCTTCATCAAGCTCCATATGAAAACCATAAACAATAATAGAAACTACACCAAAAATTACTCCACTTAACTCCAAAACCTAGTGGTGTAGTACACAGTAAGAGAAGAGAAATCGAAAAGGGCCACAGCCTTAAACACTCAATATATTAATCCAATGACCTAAAATTTATAAGTTAAAACCCTAAGTTCAAAATAGGAAACAAAATTCCTAAAACTATGAAAGTTAATTGAGTAATGCTATACAAACAAAAAATTCACACATAATGATGTGGTTCATTGTGGATTTTTCATTTCAAAACAAAACAACATTGAAGATGGATTTATTTACAATAATGGCAATGACACATCATTCTTGTCAAGTTTTTTGTATGAATTTCATGTAAGAATAGAATTTTCCAAGTAAATATTAATAAGATCATCCTAATTAAGCTATAATTAAAATACTACAATAAATAAATATTAAAGACATAAAATTACACAATTATAAATAGAATCCCATGCCAAATTGGTGCCTTTACATTCTGCACCACCTCAAGGGTTACCAAAAGATGAGTAACTGCATAGCAGTAAGGGGCACACTGTATGTGGTCAAGCATGTGCATCGGGTCCACCAATGAAAACCCAGTTAACCCCACCACCAGTGATCCATCCAAAAATTGACGAAGTCACTCCTTACAAGGTACAACTCACACCCAGCCAATTCTAAAGTATATACCCAGTGACGATTTGCTGTTTGGGTTAGAAAGGATGTGTTTTTTCCCCTCTCTCTCTCTCTCTCTCTCTCATCCTCCTGCCCCCTTTCATGCACCAACATTACACAAAAATGCCTTCATTCGTGTTCATTAGCTTTGAAGAGCACCTACTAATATACAAAACCATCAGTCTTCCCATCCACATAAACCCTATTACTTATTCTCCTTAGTAATTCTCAAGGAAAAATAAGAATACCAACAAAAAAAAAAGAGGGAAACAAGCCAATTTCTCAAGTCCTTTAATCATTTCATTGCTTATCTGTGAAAATAAGCACACTTAAAAATCATGTACAAAGAGACAATGGGGTAGCCCCAGTGGTAAAGCCCCCCTTACCAGACGCAAGGTCCAGGTTTTGAGTCTCGTCCCCCTTCCCCTAAATTAGGTTATACACTTGTGTTGTAAATACTATAACCTTCTCCAAAAAAATAAATAAATAAATCATGTACGAAGAATACCAAATCTGACAAAGTATTCTTAAATGGCACAACCGAGGGAAGACAATATTTTGTGAGGGAACAAACCCTGCAACACTCATTGGCAACAATATTATTTTCTACCATCCCAAAACTAAAAAGATTATAACTAAGAAAGAAGCATGCCAACTTCAAAAGTGACCCACTTATTAGAATCGACCTGTAAAATTCACACTTTTGCCAAGACCGATTTCTTTAAAATTAGAAAAAGATATAGATTGACAAGAAAATTCTAAGTAGTGTAGAAATTTAATGTATAAAGAGAAATAGAGAGAATTAATTATGTATAGAGAAATAGAGAGAATTGTATTATTGATTGATATATATTGATTATATTACAATGATTCATGATTCCTATATATAGAAGAGGGTGAGTGTGTAGTAGGTAAGAAGTAGGTGAAGTGGAGGTGGTAGTGGTGTAGTGGGTTAGGTTTAGTGGAGTAGGTTTAAGTGGGGGTAGTGGGTTAGGTTTAGTGGAGTAGGTTTAAGTGGGGGTAGTGGGTTAGGTTTAGTGGAGTAGGTTTAAGTGGGGGTAGTGGGTTAGGTTTAGTGGAGTAGGTTTAAGTGGGGGTAGTGGGTTAGGTTTAGTGGAGTAGGTTTAAGTGGGGGTAGTGGGTTAGGTTTAGTGGAGTAGGTTTAAGTGGGGGTAGTGGGTTAGGTTTAGTGGAGTAGGTTTAAGTGGGGGTAGTGGGTTAGGTTTAGTGGAGTAGGTTTAAGTGGGGGTAGTGGGTTAGGTTTAGTGGAGTAGGTTTAAGTGGGGGTAGTGGGTTAGGTTTAGTGGAGTAGGTTTAAGTGGGGGTAGTGGGTTAGGTTTAGTGGAGTAGGTTTAAGTGGGGGTAGTGGGTTAGGTTTAGTGGAGTAGGTTTAAGTGGGGGTAGTGGGTTAGGTTTAGTGGAGTAGGTTTAAGTGGGGGTAGTGGGTTAGGTTTAGTGGAGTAGGTTTAAGTGGGGGTAGTGGGTTAGGTTTAGTGGAGTAGGTTTAAGTGGGGGTAGTGGGTTAGGTTTAGTGGAGTAGGTTTAAGTGGGGGTAGTGGGTTAGGTTTAGTGGAGTAGGTTTAAGTGGGGGTAGTGGGTTAGGTTTAGTG